CAGAGTACTCATCAAATAATTCTGAATTCACATATTTTAAAGAGGATTAAAAGAGAGAAATCATTTATTCATGTTTTCCGTAGCAATGGATTCAGGTAAGTACCGCAACAATGGGTTCAGGTAAGTACAATTATTTACATGAAAATCATGATAGTTGTAGATCTTGGATTATGAAGGTTGTTATATGCATAATACCATAAAATTTATTTATATCGTGGACCATGTAGTTGTCTCTTGAAAATTTAAAATAACGAGAAAGTCAGACGTTCGGGATTTGAGTCGATGGAGCGACTGTTATCTTTTCGTTGTGATGTAACTTACTAACCCATTAACATCTTATATTTTTTTAAGGAAATAAAAAAAATAAAGGGTTAAATTTATTTTATCCCCTTGTGGTTGGGGGTTAGAGCACTTTACCTCCTTATGGTTCAAATATAGTTAGAAAGTCCCCATATAGTTTTGGATTAAAGTGATACCATTATTTTTTGCCATCTAAACTAATAAAAGGTGTATCACACTGATTATTTTGTAGAGCGGACTTAATTTCTGAAAATATAAAGTGGAATTAACAAAACAAAAAGACATACTTACCTCATAAAAAAAAAAACAATTTTATCCCAATTTTCTCTAAACCTAAAATTAGATGAATATGTTAATTAAAATAAAATAAATCAAATTAAAATATAATTAAAAATTGATCTAAAATATAAAATACAATTAAGAAATAATTTAAAATATAATTAAATAAAAATATAAAATAAATAATAATTAAAAATTGAACTAAAATATAATTAAATTAAAATTAGATTAGATTAATTTTAATAGATAATTAAGCATTTAAGATTAATTGTGATCTAAAATATAAAATTAAAATTAGATTAAAAATTTAGTAATTAGAATAAATAATTAAATAATTAGAATTAATTATGATATAAAGAATAATTAAATTAAAATTAGAATAAAAAGAAGAATTAAAATAAATAATTAAGAAATTATAATTAATTGTGATTTAATTAAATTAATGTTAAACCTGATAAATTATGTGTATGAGAGGAGATAGAGAGAAAATAACAAAAAAAAAAAAAAAAATTGATGGTATTATAATCATTTTAAATTTGGTCCAAAATCACATGCCTCTCTGATTATTTTTGAGACATAAGAGCATCTCCAACGGTAGTAGGCATTTTACCTATCTGAATATTACTATAAAGTATATATTTTATTTTGCCTATCAACTGTTTTATGTTTTTACTCCAACCATGCTCTTTATTTTAGCTATTTATCTAAATACTATTAATTTTATAGAATGCCACGTCAACAACAAAGATGGAGGGAAATGATCCTAATGATGGAATACATTTTGCCTAGCGTTGAAGGCTAGCTACATGTAGCTAGTGAATATGAGTTGAGCCAAAATGCCTAGTCATATGCCTAGTGCATTGGAATTGAAAAAAGTAAATCACACTAGGCATTTTAACTAACAAGTATTATATGCCTAGTGCATTGGAGATGCTCTAAGGGATAAAGAAGTTTAGCCTGAAATTCTGATGAGGTAAAATGAATTTAACCCAAAAATAAAAAAATAAAAATGATTATAAATGAAGTTTAACCCGTTGGTTCTGACCTCAGTACTGAATAGGAGATTGCGCCAAGCTTGTTTGGCTGTTGTAGCATCCTCGATTATTGGAAAGATCCGGTCTGAGACGCCTTGCTGGATGTGAGAAAGAGCTGCAGCATCCTTCTTTTGGTTCTCCTTCTTGGTCTCCTCGTCGGTCTCCCCGTTGGCCTCATGGTTGTACCCATTCTGTACCGTATCCCACAAATCCATAGATAAAAGCAGAGTTTTCATCTTCACACTCCAAATCTTGTAGTTTGTACCGTCAAAAATTGGAATTGTGGCCATGTAGACTTAACTCTGTTAAGGATATTCAGTTCTTCACCTTGCAGCTGATCTTCCTTCCACAAACCATAAACTCTACTACTACCATATGGAATGGAAGCCTTTTGAGTAGGCCTATGTAAGCTGTTGTTTCATCATTAAAAAATAAATAAATAAATAACAGCCAGCAAAATTTACTTTCGCAAGAAGGACGGATGTAGATTTTTTAGAGTTTGGGTATAGCTGCACATGGTGCGCTGCAGCACATTTTATTAGGTTTATTTTAAGGTTTAATTCGATAATTTAAATCGTTCATATTTTAAAAATTCTAAGTAAAATATATCTGTAAAAAATCACGTCGATCGGATATCGTTATTTCTTTTATCAAATCACATTTGCATTGAGTTTTATATTTCAAATTACATTTGTCTTCTTTTTTTTTTTTATAATTACAAAAGTAATTTGATAAAAAAAGCCAACGATATCCAATTGACGTAATTTTTTACTGATATATTTTACTCGATAACTTCTAAAATGTGAACGGTTTAAATTATCAAATAAAACCTTGAAATAGGCTCAATAAAAAATATATAACAGTTGCTATTTCATACCATACGCATCGGCAATCCCAAACATGTTTTTTTAACGGCAAAAGAAGGGATGGTATGCAGATTTGGAATTCTATCTTCTGTCGTACACTTTGACTCTTCACAATCTCTATCAAAATAAAACCCACAATGGACTCCATTATATGCCATTTTGGGAACCAAAATAAAAAGTCACGTTTTTTATCTTTGGTCCAAAAACGCAAGTGGCAAAAACGTAACAAAATTGGTTGGGGAATTTATAAAAACACAAGTGTGAAATTACAAATTAGGGCCTATGACAAAAAAATAAAAAAAATAAATTTCTTATGTTAGATAAGGATATTTTGGTCATTTTAATTTGATTTGACACCATAAACAAATATTAAACTAAAAAGTCAAAAGCCCGCTTTTTACCAACTTCCCAAATAACTTTCCAAAAAGCTGAAAAACTTGATAAAAAATCAAAATTCAACTTTTTATCAACTTCCCAAAACACCCCTATATATGCACATCAATGATTATTGTACAACAACAACAACCACATTGTCTCCAAATTATGAGCTCCAGCTTACTTTTCAAGACAAACCAATAGGGTTGTATCAGGAACCATGAAAACAATAAATAAATGATAACTAAAAATAAAAAGGGTGATGATACATACCCATTCTTGAATTTCCTAAATGTGTCCTTAATGATATGACGTGATAATGTGGTGACCATATGAAATAAAAGAATATTTTTTTATATATAGTATGAATTTTTTTATCATAATCTCAAAGATAATATTTGTAATTAAAGGAATTAAATATTGATTATTTATAAAATTACCTTAAGATTTTACTTTTTCATGTCCACCTTATTTCGTCTGCTATTTATAGTTTTCAAACATTTTAACAAGTAGAATGTGTAATTTTTTACTTTCGGTGAATGTTACTTGTACTTGGAAATAAAAACTTTTATTGAATACTTAAAAATCTACAGATATGATAAGAAAAATAAAGAAAACACTCTTACTCACTTATAAAACTCTACTTCTTGGCTCTATTTCTACAAGACGCAACTATACCTTTTTGTAGGCAAAGAGTAGACTTCAATTTCGGAATTGAAATGCATAAACTTAAAATATAAGGTTCTTGTTACAAGACAAGAAACCTTTTATAGTCTAATTTATTGAAACTAACAACTTAGTAGTGGTATCTCCACTACTTTGGTTTTATTCAGCATACGACTTTCTTATTTTCATTCACAATGTGATTCAATTTTTTGTGTCTCCTTGGATATATATGTCATGTGAGCTTTTTTTTTGGCTTTTTCTATCATGTGAGCCTTACTTGGTTTTGTCTTCCATGTGACTTGTCTAAAGGATTTTTGCCTTTCTTGGCTTGATTTATTATGTGAACTTCTGCTTATTTTTCAAAAATGCAAAGGTCCATGACTTACATTGATTCATAGTGAATTTGGTTCTTCTCTTGATTTTGTAGAGTTCTAAAATAGCTGCAAAGATGTTTGGTGTTTCAATTATCTTTTCTTGGACAAGGCATTATCAATGTAATTCATGGAGTTTTTGAACCTGAGCGCGTATGCGAGCTCAGAGGTTCAAGGTTTAAGCAGTGGGGGAGGGTGTAAAAGGATAAGCATTATCCTTTGAAGTATGATTCCTAGGAGGACTCTGCATGGAGGAATACAAGTCCTACTAGGATTGGGCCACTCGAAACCTATATAAGCTCATGAGCATCACCTTGAAGGAGGTATCACATTATTTTGCTTTCAGAATACTCAGAGCTTTGTCTATTTGTCAAGCTTACTGACTTAGGCATCAGAGAGGTTTCCGGCACACACCCGCCGGCTAGCTCACGTTTGTGTTTTCAGGTGATAAAGCGACGTCGTACGGAGAAGCGTGGACTTAGTCAACAGGATTATACGAGAAGGTATATTTCTTTCCCGTACAGAATGGAAGCCTTTTGAGTAGGCCTATGTAAGCTGTTGTTTCATCATTAAAAAATAAATAAAGAAATAACAGCCAGCAAAATTGACTTTCGCAAGAAGGATGGATGTAGATTTTTTTGAGTTGGGTTACAACTGCACATGGGGCGCTGCAGCACATTTTATTAGGTTTATTTTAGGGTTTAATTCGATAATTTAAATCATTCATATTTTAAAAGTCATTAAGTAGAATATATTTGTAAAAAATCACATCGATCGGATATCGTTATCTCTTTCATCAAATTACATTTGTATTGAGTTTTATATTTCAAATTACATTTGTCTTCTTTTTTTTTTATAAATACAAATGTAATTTGATAAAAAAGCCAACGATATTCAATTGACGTAATTTTTTACTGATATATTTTACTCGATAACTTCTAAAATGTGAACGGTTTAAATTATCAAATTAAACCTTGAAATAAGCTCAATAAAATATATAACAGTTGCTACTTCGCACCATACGCATCGACAATCCCAAACACGTTTTTTTAACGGCAAAAGAAGGGATGTTATGCAGATTTGGAATCCTATCTTCGTACATTTTGACTCTTCACAATCTATATTAAAATAAAACCCAGAATGGACTCCATTATATATGCACATCAATGATTATTGTACAACAACAACAACCCCATTGTCTCCTAATTATGAGCTCCAGCTAACTTTTCAAGACAAATCAATAGGTTGTATCAGGAACCATGAAAACAATAAATAAATGATAACTAAAAATAAAAAGGGTGATGATACATACCCATTCTTGAATTTCCTAAATGTGTCCTTAATGATATGACGTGATAATGTGGTGACCATATGAAATAAAAGAATATTTTTTTATATATAGTATGAATTTTTTTATCATAATCTCAAAGATAATATTTGTAATTAAAGGAATTAAATATTAATTATTTATAAAATTACCTTAAGATTTTACTTTTTCATGTCCACCTTATTTCGTCTGCTATTTATAGTTTTCAAACATTTTAACAAGTAGAATGTGTAATTTTTTACTTTCGGTGAATGTTACTTGTACTTGGAAATAAAAACTTTTATTGAATACTTAAAAATCTACAGATATGATAAGAAAAATAAAGAAAACACTCTTACTCACTTATAAAACTCTACTTCTTGGCTCTATTTCTACAAGACGCAACTATACCTTTTTGTAGGCAAAGAGTAGACTTCAATTTCGGAATTGAAATGCATAAACTTAAAATATAAGGTTCTTGTTACAAGACAAGAAACCTTTTATAGTCTAATTTATTGAAACTAACAACTTAGTCGTGGTATCTCCACTACTTTGGTTTTATTCAGCATACGACTTTCTTATTTTCATTCACAATGTGATTCAATTTTTTGTGTCTCCTTGGATATATATGTCATGTGAGCTTTCTTTTTGGCTTTTTCTGTTATGTGAGTCTTACTTGGTTTTGTCTTCCATGTGACTTGTCTAAAGGATTTTTGCCTTTTTTGGCTTGATTTATTATGTGAACTTCTGCTTAATTTTCAAAAATGCAAAGGTCCATGACTTACATTGATTCATAGTGAATGTGGTTCTTCTCTTGATTTTGTAGTGTTCTAAAATAGCTGCAAAGATGTTTGGTGTTTCAATTATCTTTTCTTGGAGCATCTTGAGTCCTTTGCTTTGTCTTCTCCTAACTTAGATGATTCAATGACATCTTTTTCACTTCTTACCACCAGAACTCTCTTTCCATCATAGAAGATTGTTGGCTCTAAATGTTGGAGAAGAGTTTCCAAGTAATTATGGAAAAACATGAGCCTATCAATTTTGTCGATGGTAGGATCATACCTGTAACACCTCGAATGATGCAATTAACGATAATTAATATTAGGCACCTTTCAATACCTTAAACCAAAATTAAGCTATTTGATTATATAGAATAAATAATTTATTACTTGAAAAAGTATATAGTGAATAGAATAAGATGTGTGCACATGCATTCCGTTGTCGAAATAATAATTAACATATAATAAAAAATATAAAAAAAAATATTGAATTTAAGTACCTCATAATATCAAGGAATAGAAATGTAAATAGAAATTAATTGGAAATGAATGCTGGCTAACAACAAGGCACTGTCGGCCATCTGCAAGGCACTGCCGGCCACTGATGTGCTGGGACACGAAGCTGCAGTAGAGCACAAAACAGAGAAAATTGAGGGTCTCCTAAGGGCATGTACGCACTATGCCACCCCATATCATCTTAAAACATCAAGGGTGAGGCATAGTCAGATCTACGACCATCAATCACGCATCCTGATGCATGATGACCAAAGATCTAACTTGTGTAAATCAATATGAAATAAATGCACAAATAAACACATAAAGCCTAAAACTCTATCATGAATCATCAAGAGCGCTCCAATGATTATTTTGGTAGCCTCACTTAGATATTATTTCCACTCGTGCTAATTGAAATATGCTCTAAAACTAACCATCGAAAATGGTTAAGTAAAAGGGAGAAAGAAGTGGGGTTGGAAGACATGCACACACACACGCACGCTTATTACAACATTACGCCCTCTCGAAGGAGGGTCCGAATAATTAAAGATAAACTAATTATTACAACCAACTAATTAACTAACTTAGCTAATTAATTATTACAAACAGAATTGAAACTAGCTATGCTAGGCTAATTAGAATATTACAGAGATGAATTAAATTAG